GTATCATTATTTTAGATCTATTAGTTGCTTTTATTTTTGGAATAGTTCTTCAATTGTCTTAAAAAACAAAAATATGGCTTCTACCAATGATACTCCCGCTAAAAAGGTGCTTACATTAGCCGAATTTCGAAAACTAGCTGAAGACAAAGATAAATCTATATTGATGATTAATAATCACATATATGATGTTACAAGATTCCTTGAAGAGGTTTGTAATTATATCATTCAAAAATTTTAACTGAAAAAGATTTTCTTTTCAATATTTTAAAGCATCCAGGTGGTGAAGAAGTGTTAAAAGAACAACATGGTCGAGACGCATCAAATGCTTTTGAAGATGTTGGTCATAGTTCTGATGCACGCGAACAAATGAAAGCATATGAAATAGCTCAAATTGATCCTGTAAGTTAATTTAGATTATCTATTTTAATCGATTCATTTTCTTTACTTTTTCTCTATGTCTAGAATGAAATTAAGGCATCGTTGAAGATTTTATTTAACAAATAATTAAATAATTTTAATTATTCTATTTTTCTTTATTTTAGGTTCGTTCTGTAATGGTCGATTCCAGTGGTAGTACAGGTGGTGTTCGTGATGATGCTGGTTTATCGTGGACTAAATGGATTATTCCTCTTGTGATAGCAATAGCAGCTGTAGTTCTTTTTAAATTACTTACAAAACATGAACCAGATGTCAATCAACCACCAACAGCTATTTAGATTCTTTTCTTTTTCTTAGCTATCAACTATGATTTACAATTCTATTTAATAAAATGGGAAAGAAAAAACAGAAATATTAATTTTAATCTAAATAACTGTCTTAAATTGTGATTATTTTTCTTCTAGATATAATCTTATTTATATTATTATCTCATTGTATTCACTGTCCATCTTGTCGCAAAAAGCAAATAAATAAATAATTTTGCAACACGATGGCTGAAGCTCAATTAACAAATCAATTAACACGTATTGATTCAATGACAAATGTTGAATTACGTGCTGAATTAAAACGACGTGGTTGTCCAACATCAGGAAATAAAAAAGATCTATTAGCTAAATTACGTGTTGCTTTACAAAAAGAATACGAACAAACATCTGTACAAAATCCATCGATTATTGATTCAACCAATTTTGATGGACAAAATAATAATGTTTCTGGTTTACAACAATCACCTGTTGCACGATTAGATGCTAATATATCTTCATTAGATAATTCAACAGCATCATCTAATAATTATATGACACCACATACTGGTAGTCCAGTTGTATATTCAGAACATACACATGGTGGAGAAGTACCATTAACATATACTAATTTACAAATTCATGATGATCAAGTAAGAAATAAAATAATATTTTATTCTGTATATAAATAATATAAACCAAGGAATTTTTTTCGCTTTTTGACTTTTTTATCTCTAATATAGATTCGAAGTATCCTGTCAAATGTCATATAAATGAGAGCTCTTTGTTGTTAGTGTGTGAGTCTTTCTCTTCAAAATGTTGTTCCTACCAACATCGACAGTCTTTAAATAATTACTACAATTGAAAAAAAACATGCTTCTAAACAGTGCCCCCAGCATTTTGCTTCTGATCTCTAAGAAGTCTATTTTTGAAAGAAAAAAAACGTACCTCGATTTGATTCTAGCTGTTGTAAAACGATTGCAGGTCGAAAAATGAAGCATAGTTTTGTCAGAGGACACAACTTCTAACTTTTATGACTCTCTTATCCGCCTGAAGAAAGCACCTGGGAATTTTGACTCTTTAGCAACTATTGTCGTACTTATCGAGATCTATCTGCCTTGAAAGCTTTATCATGTTACATTGAGCCGTTCCTGAGAAACCTCGGAAAGAGAAGGAAGGATCCGTTAAATATATCTCATGACATGACATCAGTAGTATATAAAATGTAATATTTTCTGTAATAATTTAAAAATTAAGCTTTTTTCAATACTACCAAAAATATGCACTGCAAACCATGCTGATATTTGATTATTGCTTATTAATCATTTCTTTGTCATATTTTAAAACGATCAAATAATTGGTGCTTTTCTTCACAGAAAATTAATCGTGGAAACGGATGCGTTAAACCATTTTATAATTCATTTTGACATTCCAACTGTTTAGAGAGTTACGGTAAAAAGTTAAAATAACCTGAAGTCCATAATAATCATAGAAATTCGGATAGAAGTCGAAGAAGAACGGTGCATATTATTGGTAGCATTGAAAATAGCTTATTTTTTAAACGCAAATCGAAAATGTTATCTTTTCTACACTATTGATGGATTTGGTCTTTACGAATCAATATTCACTAGTCTTCTATTACAAAAAAAAAAAAAAAGGTTTAGATTAAACTTGATGAGTAAGGGAGTTGTCTGTATTTCTTAAGTGATCGTGACTTTTGGGACATCCTGTATACTGAATCTAAAAAAGATGTATATAGTTATCTTGTTTCTTCTCACGACATTTCTTCAAGGTAATATTAATCAGTATATTGACTTTTATCTTTCTTATCGTTTCTTTGGTAGTATCTACTATAGTTATGTGAGAACATCACAATTTCGTTTTCAATGAACTTAACGTCAATATAAAATTCATTTCGTATATACTTTTCAAAAAAAAAATTTACACATTCTGTATACACTTTAATACAACTTGAGTTTACAAGACAATGAGAAACAGACAGACGATTCCTACTATTTATTTAGTGAAGTTGCAAAAACTTTTCTCCATTTCTGTCTGATAACAGAATATAACTCCTTTTGTTTGCCTTATAAATAAAAGCATGAACAATATATATATATACTGTTTCATGCAAAACGAGACATACTTCACCTTTCATTTGACCTTGTTTCTTTACACAGGTTATTTTTCTGCATAAGTTTTTTTTTAACACAGAGATATGTAAAAATGTTGACTATTAATTAAAAAGTAATTAGCAAATATATCTTTAAAACTATACGAGAAAAAAAACTCGAAAACTAAAGGATAGACTCTAGAACACGAATAACATCTAAGGTGATATTCTGAAGATTTTGAAGAGGAAATTGTATCATTTGGCACTGGTTGAGAACTTTGTATTCGATTATAAAAGCATGTTTTCGTTTGTATATTGGTATTTCGTCACGTTGCTAACGAAAAATAAATCGATTATTTGTGAAAAATCTAAGCATGCTCAGAGAAAAAAAACTTTGAATGGAGATTTTATAGTCTTAGGAGTTGTGTACAGGATGTAGTGGATGTCGATATCCTTTATTTTCTGTCATGTGAAGAACCCTAGTTTAATACTCATCACTTGTCTTGACAAAAGTTTCTAGTGATGATTTTTTTCCAGGTATCTTGATTAAATTAACATATAAGAATTAGCTCTGGGAAAATTCATTATCACGAGATAAGCGTGATTTAATTTTGCATAGTGTTATGTCGCTAACGAAAAGTTTCATCCATGTATACTATTGAATTAATAAACCATGATTTTCTAATTTTATAGACTAGTGGACAAAATGCACCTGTATACAATTTAAAAATACAACAAAATATTCATCAATCTCCAGCTCCAATGATTCCTGTTCCCCAACAATTAACATTATCACCATCAGAAAGATCACAAATCGATGATGAATCTCTTTTACATAATCAAGAACAAGAAGAAGAGCTCTCACCAATGAATACACGTGAAATACGAACAAGTGTTGATACTCCAGTTGATACGTCTATGTCAACAACTATTCCTTTATCAACACCAGAGAAAAGATCACGAACACGAAGTAAAAAAACATCTGTTGATTCTCAACAAAATGAAATTCAACAACCAACATCATCCATGGAAAATCTTTCAACTGAAATCATCAATACAACACCTATTGAACCAACGATTATCAACGAACCAATTGTTACAAATACATCAACAACTGATAATAATGGTAACAATATCGAGGTGAATCCCATTGTGAGTAAGAGTAATGAGGAAGAACAGAAAGATAGAGATAATATAGGAGAAGAAAGAGAAGATTCACGTTCGCCATCTGTAGGCAGTAGTAGTGCCAAATCTGAGTCTGTTATTAAAGAAATTCCGTTGTCCGGTGAAAGACATCGTTTGAGTCGATCGAAATCACCTAAATCACGTTGGCATCATTCACCTTCACCACAGCAACAGACTAATCAATCAACAACGATTGAAGAAGAACCAAACTCGGTTGTAACACCTACAAATGATGACAATAATAAGTATGTATTACAAATTTATATTTTTAATACACAAACAAAAAAAAATATTTCAATAAATTATTTGTTTAGTATAACTAATGAACAGGTCGAAAAGTCATCATCAGTGTTAACTTCAATTACCGAGGAAGAAAACAATTTAGGTGGAACTGAAAAGAAACAAGTAATGAATTTTTCTTAAATATTTTTTAAATAATAATATTCTTTTTTTGTTTCAGGACAATTCATCTGAAATAAAAATCCAGGAAACTATGACGAGTAAATACTTGCTTTCTTTTTCTAGACTTCTAGCAACGATAAAATCCATCAGAATCGTATTTTCGATATAAAATTCAGAACTTATGGTTTAGAACAAATTGATTTAGATATATATATATATGAAACAGTACAGGAGTAGATGCTCATAATACAAATAAAAATTTAATAATAAATGTTGATATGTCGAAGAATGTATTTAAAAAAAAACCTTCATTCTTGAATAACAGTCATTTTATACTATATCGGTCGCATCCTTTTGTTCACCTTTTAACTTAAATTATTTTTTCAAATTTTTTGTTTCATAAGATTCCAAACTAGCTTAGAATCATTAAAATAAGGACTATATCCTGGTCATTGACTTAATTCAATATTATATGTTGAACTAAGAAATATGCTGCCGATAGAGCCCGTTGTGTTCAGGCCAACAATTTTTATGTTAACCGGGTGTAAAAGCTTTGTATTCGATGGGCTCTAGCGGCCAATAAAGTATAGAATGACTTAATAAAAAATATAATCTAATGATGTATTGACAAATATTTTGATGGAGTATCAAGATTTTGTATTGCATTGTTATTTGTGTTATAAGGGCCTACTTTTGTACTGAACCTCTAGTTGTAATATAAGCCGCTGAGGTTTCTCTGATAGAGAAAACTACTAATACGATTTGCATGTTGGCGCTACCTGAAGAGAAGACTCATACAGTTAGTTGATATCTTGATATTACAATCAGAAGAAATATGAATTTCATAAAACGAGATTATATTAAAATACTTGTTTCCAGACAAAGTGGTTATTGCATAGTACTTAGTGGCTATGATCCCAGGTGTCGATGTAAAATGAAAATGTGTTGTAGAGAATCCTCTTACTCATGAGTATTTACATCTGGGAAAATTTTTTTAATATACAGATGGTATCTGACCAAGACTATTTTAATAGTATATGCGACGATGGCGGAGTGTTGGGGAAGGGACAGGGTCTTCTATTTCGGGGAATGATTTATTCATATATATTCACGTCAATATGTTCTAAATCATGAACTCTGTACTCTTATATCGAAAATACGATTCCTATGGATTTAGTCATTGGCACACTAATTTTGATGATCGATGTATAATTTGATTTTTTTTCCGTATAGAAAATGAATTATCGTCAAATGATAATCAACAACCAGAAAAAGCTGCACCTCAACAACAACTTAAACCTAGTCGTTCTCAAGCATCAACAACAACAACAACAACAGCAACATCATTAATGAAAGGTCTTAATCGATCAACAACAAGTAATCGAATGAATTTATCATCAGATGTTCTCAAAGTAATTTTTTTTTTGTTTTATTAATTTCATCTAAATTAATTTTATTTAATTTTTTTTTTAATTAGACACTTATTTCGGATATAAGTTTAGCACCTGTATCTGTTATTAATGATGAACTTGAGTCATCAATAAATGAACAAGATCATGGTGATGATGTTGCACATTCACCAAATCAACCAGTACTTGAAACAAGTGTTGGTAGTGGTTTTCGTTTATCTGATTCTTTGACAATTGGTGAATTAGCTGATCAAAAACAACAACGTAATCGAACTGTTGTCATTGATGTTGCTGTATGTACAAATGTCTATTTAACTTGATGCTGTTATTTTTCTCTTTTTTTGTTCTTCAGGTTGATTCTTCATCATTAAACGATGATCTTGTTGGAAATAGTTCGGATAATCGAAAAAAGATTCAAGCACCAGCACCACCTGCTCGTATTGCTTCATTTGAATCGAAAACATTACTTGATGGAAAAACTAATGGTATATTGATTTTGAATAGAATCATTTTCTATCAAACGATCTATTTTAATAAATAATTAATGTTTTTTTTTGTCTTTGTGTTTAGCTTTAATGATGGATGAACCAGTACGTGTAAAAGATGCTACGGCAACACTGGAACCACCAAGTCGAATATTATATATTCGCGGTCTTACTCGTCCATTTACTCTTCCATTATTAAAAGAACTGCTTGGTCGCTATGGTAAATTAGTTGATGGTGAATTTTGGCTTGATAAAATAAAAAGTCAATGTTTCGTAACTGTAAATATTCGTATCTTTTCGAAAAATTCTTTTTTTTTAATACTTTTTCGTATTATATTTATTTTAGTATAATACACTTGAAGAAGCACAAAATGCTCGTGAAGGTCTTGATGGTTGTCGATGGCCATCAACAAATCCAAAAACATTATCTGTTCGATTCGGTCGACAAGATGAAGTATGATTTTCTTTTAGATATGAAGTTTTTGAAAAATAATTTCTTTAATTATAGTTCGAATTTAGCAAAACACATGATTTACCACCTGATCAAATGTCAATTGGTAAAAAAGAATTTATACTTTTTTTTGTTTTTTTATATTTCATTAATTTTCTTTTCTAGATGCAATGGATACTACAAATAATCGTCTTGTACAAGACAAAACAACTTCTGTTAATAAAATTTCAACATCAACTCGTCGATCTGCAAGTCCGCATGATGAAACAAAAGTAAATAAAAAAATTCGTCCAACTGGTAATACTGATGTAAGAGAATGGGATTTACCGAAATTTCAAGAAGAAAAAGAAAAATCACCCACAGAACGTAATATTATTGAAGAATCAAAAGGTAATTAAATAAAATAGTTCTATTTTATTCATTTTTATTTTGTAAACATTAGTAAAATCTAATGAACCACCGGCAAAAGGACTTGATGATTATTTTCGTAAAACAAAAGCAAAACCAGCTATTTATTGGTTACCATTAACTGAAGAACAAGTAGGATCTATTTTTTTTACAAGAATATCATATTAAGTAAGATTTTTATTTTAGATTATCGAACGAGCTCGTCAACAGCAACAACGTAATGCTGAACGTGATGAAGAACAGAGAAAACGACAACTTGAAGAAAATGCTCGTCCATCAAATAATACTAAAGATTCAGTAGGAATTTATATTCTAATCAATAAATTTCGTGAAACACGATCTGAAAGAAGTGTTGAAGTTTACTCGAGAGAAATTTGCCACCTCATCTAAATTTCATCAGGTTGGTCCGGGGTTCACAAATTTTAGACTCAACGGGCTCTACCCTCATCACAGACTGTAAGAGACATTGTTGATACACGATCACAACTCGTATATCAATAAAGTCTCGTTACAATCTACTTTGCTATTGTATTTCTGAAAGATTAATTAAGAGGATCGTGAAGAAATTTGTTCCAAAATAAATAAAATAAAACAATCTCCTTGTGATTAACAACAACAATTACATCGTGTTTCATATTTTAATCTCACAAGGATTGCACTAACAGCTTTTTATTAAATTATTTGTTTTTACCTTGTAGAAACCTCGTACAAATAATAATGATAATAAATCATCCAATCGTACTAATCGTCGATCACCATCACCTAAAGAAAAACGTAGACGAGTCTCATCAAGTCCATCACCACCACGTGCACGAGATAATAAACGACATTAGATATTATTGATTCTTTCAATCAAGAGTGTACATATTCTATACTCTTTCTTTTTTGTTTGTTAGTTTTTTTTTTTCGTTGTATTTGCTCTATGTCTGTGAGATTCGACCGAAGAAGAAATGAAGAAACATGCTTGTATACGTCAACTATCATCTATTTCTTCAGTTTGTTTTACTTTCATTTCGTGAGAGTATATCATTGATGTTTGTATTGTGTTTGGTTCTCTTTTTTTTGTCTTCAACTTCTGAAACAGCAAATAAAAAACAACAATTTTTTTTTTGCTTTTTTGGTTTCATTATATTCATATTAAATCATTTGAAGATAGTAGATATTAGTTAAAGAAAATGGCTCGTACACAGTTCGATCTTATTCAATCACTTGTTCATGAAAATACTATACAAGATGAAAGAATTACATACGCTATGTTAGCAACAGATAGATTTGATTTTTCAACTGGTCAAGTATATGAAGATGCTCCACAATCCAGTAAAAAATTCCTGCTAATACAATACAATTGAGAGATGCTTGTATACTTTCTTTTTTTTTGCAGTCGGTTATAATGTAACGATATCCGCTCCACACATGCATGCTTTTGCACTTGAATTGTTGCGAGATAAACTTGTACCAGGTGCTCGTGTACTTGATGTTGGTTCTGGTTCAGGGTATTTAACATTATGTATGGCTCGTCTTGTTTATCCAACTGGAAAAGTATTTGGAATAGAACATATTCCACAATTAGTTCATTTATCATTAACAAATATTGCTAAAAATGGTCGTTCATTTCTTGATGATGGTACATTAGAAATCGTATTAGGCGATGGACGGTTCGGCTATCCACAGGGTGGACCATATGATGCTATTCATGTAGGAGCAGCAGCATCACATCATCCTATAGAATTGATTAATCAACTAAACCCCGGTGGACGTTTAGTTGTACCTGTTGGTATTGAAAATCAAACACTGATGATTTATGAAAAATCATTAGATGGTTGCCAAGTACACGAACAAGAAACAATGGGTGTGAATTATGTACCATTAACAGATAAAAATGAACAATGGCCTTATTGATTATATATGAAGTGTATGGTACGATTTTCATTATAATCTTGCATTTAACTGCCTGTGATATTATAGATTAGTAGATAAAAAGTATCTTATTAGTCTATTCTTTTCTCATATCTTTCTTCATTGGAATAGATTGAAAAGTCAATGATCTTGCATCTCATTTTTTCTAGATTCTTTTTTTTTGTATTGGAGTCCAGCCAATTTTCTTTCTATCAATAGTAGAGTAATTAAAAAGATTCTTGCCAAATTTGAAAGATAGATAGATATTCATTATTTCTTATATATCTATATCAATTGCTTAGATATGCTTCTTCGTGCATTACTATAATGAACGTTTTACATTTAATATGTTATACAAACAAAGTAAGTTAATTAACATTGAAATCAACCATTTTGTTTTTTTTTCTTAAGCTTTTCATCATTTACTCGATAGAAATTTTCTAAAAATGATTGTGAACTTTTTCTTTTTTTCTTATTACTTTCATCGATACGTGATTTTTTTTATTGTATCATTGTTCTATTCATTTTTTTAATGCATGCAATTCCAGTGAACACTTCTATAACAAAATAGCAATAAAAAATAATCATAACAGATTCGTATTAATCATGGAAATCAAGCAGAAAAATCTTACTAGATTATCGAAGGAATCGTCCTATTATGTGGTGAAAAAGAATCTGATTTGATTTTTAAGAGTTGTTAGATTCTTTTCAGCTAAGAGATTTCTTGTCTCGCTAATCAAAGTTTTGTCTGCCGAATTCTTGTTTGATTTGCAACATCTTGTTGACCACATAAGTATCTTGACGTTGATGGATTTTTCATCTAAAACAAGAATCTGAAAAGAATGGGAACAGAAATACTCTGGCCTTCTCACATTTCTAGGCACAGCTATCCGCAGACAAACATTGCACGATCTCTTTTTGTTTGTCTGATGAATGTAATGTGCATCAATAAAAACCTATGCATGTGTTAAATGAGGCGACAAATTCGTTTTTATCGACTTGGTGAGTTGGTAGATGGGTATCCTTTTTACATTTTTTTTTTATCAATTTATCATTTTAATTTTTTCTAATAAATAAAACAAACCTTAATTAACGTTTTGAATGATACAAATTGAGCTTTGATAGTTTATGCTTAGATTTGAAAATAGAAGAAATGACAGCAGCAGCTTTGAATAACATGATTGAATTTTACTACTAACACGGTGTTTCCACAATCTAAGTCGTCATTATTAAGAATAGTATGAACAAACAAGAAACAATTTGGTATATATGCATAGATAACATAAAGAAAAAAGTAGAATGCATATGATTACAAATATAGAATGTTAAATACAATAGCAAAGAGAAGAAAGAGAAATTGAGTATCAGTGGATGATACATATTCACCTTCTATTGTATCAGCTAACAATCTATTGATGATCGAAAGATATGTTCTTGTCACTTATCATATGATATACGTATTTGTACACAATAATAGAAAATTTGATAGTGTAATATTTGCTCCATTTCGTTTTACTTAACCATTTAGATATGATTACATATTTTTTGATAAGCCATCACAGAACACAACCAATGCTACCGATTGTGTCCCGCAAATGAGTTTTGCCTTGAACATATGGATTAATAATGATTCTTTTGCGAATGGACGGGTGTTCTTGTTGGCGTAGGTGAAGGTCTGGGTGGATGTTCTATTTACCCGCATCGATGGTGAAGTAAGAATACCTTCATAAGATACACTCTAAAAAAAAAAGAGGTGTTTTACTGAACTTCAAAAGTTCGGCATTTTTACACCCAACCATTTTAAGCTCAGTAGATTGAAAACCGTTTCGTAATTGCCATACAAAACCTTTTTAAGTTCAGGAGATTTAATGAGGTTTTGGAATTTACAAGCGAAACCTTACGCGAGTTTCGTAAATTGATCTGTGGTTTCGCATATCATAGACTAAGCCTTTAATAGTTTCGTAAATTGCTTTACGATGTCGTATATGATGCACGNAAGGTTTGTTTTATTTATTAGAAAAAATAAAAATGATATGATTACATATTTTTTGATAAGCCATCACAGAACACAACCAATGCTACCGATTGTGTCTCGCAATTGAGTTTTGCCTTGAACGCATGGATTAATAATGATTCTTTTGAGAATAGACGGGTGTTCTTGTTGGCGTAGGTGAAGGTCTGGGTGGGTGTTCTCTTTACCCACGTCGATGGTGAAGTAAGAATACCTTCATAAGATACACTCTAAAAAAAAAGAGGTGTTTTACTGAACTTCAAAAGTTCGGCATTTTTACACCCAACCATTTTAAGCTCAGTAGATTGAAAACCATTTCGTAATTGCCATACAAAACCTTTTTAAGTTCAGGAGATTTAATGAGGTTTTGGAATTTACAAGCGAAACCTTACGCAAGTTCCGTAAATTGATCTGTGCTTTCGCATATCATAGACTAAGCCTTTAATAGTTTCGTAAATTGCTTTACGATGTCGTATATGATGCACGAAACCTCTGATAGTTTTGAAAATTGGTTAGTGGATTGGCATACATTTCCTTAAATCTTTGATAGTTTCGTAAGGTTATTAATGGTTTCGTACATCATGTACTGAACCTTAGATGATGTCAGAAGTTAGTTTGTGGTTTCGTTCATCCTGTACCCAGACTCTGATAGTTCCGTACATTCAACACTAAATCTTCTGTAGTTTCGGAAATTACTTTATGGTTTCGTACATATTTCACCAAGGGTGTGGAGTGTGGATAGGTGTAATTATTCTTTTTATCTACACCCACACCCTCATTGAAACAGCTGTGGAGTAAGAATCGTAGATAAAAGAATTTCTTCAACAGAAGATTTTATTTTTATAGCTATAGGTGGACAAATCAAAAGAGATGTTGAATATTGAACTTTTGAAGGTGAAAAATATAATGAGAAAGGATTTCTTATGAAAAAATTTTTGCACTTCAAGTTGTTGTAAGTTCATCTAATTTTTTCTAAGAATAATTGTTAAAAATAAAACGTTTAGTCAGTTAATGAAATAACATCAACGATAAGTGAATTAGATAAATTTGAAGAAACAATTGATTGACCTCAAATTAATATTTCAATAAATAAATCTAAAACATCAAGAAATGATTTATTATCATTTGCACCTAGTGATCATGTTAAAGTATGTGAAAATGAATTAATTAATTTATAAGGTACAATTGTAGGTATTGATGGTGATTTAATTCGAATTTTATCAAAACATGAAGCATTAAAAGATGAAATTCCATTTAAAGTTAATGAATTAAGAAGATACCTTTCTGTTGGAAATTATGTTAGAGTTCTGAATGCAAGATTTCAAGGAGAAACTGAAATGATTGTTGGAATTGGTGGAATAAAAGCAATTGTATTAAGTGATGAAACTAAAGATGAAGTTGGTTAATCAATTTAAATAATGAGATGAACTAAATTTGTTTTCTTTTTTAATTAAATGACTGTTCGAACATCAGATCTTCAAATATGTAAAGAAATATCCAGAGATGATTTATTTGTATCAAAAACAAGAAATTTATTATTAGCTCGTTATCAATCAAAAGTTTCATCTAGTCCATCAACAACATCAATCAATGCTTCTTATATGTTGTCATGTGTTTTGTCATCACAATCATCACGTATATTATCATCATCAGTGCATTCAAATAGTCTAGCATCAGTTACAAGTTTAATTAGACAAATAATTTGAATATCATAAGGTCTTTATAAAGATTATGTTGGAATTGTTAAAGATGCAACTGAAGCTACATATAAAATTGAATTTCATGCTAAATGTCAAGCAATTATTGTTGATAGAAACCGTGTTGTATCAACAAGGCACGCTCTTTTATTTTGTTTGAATCGCTAATTAAATGAATATATAATAATTTATTCAGACATCTTCCACGTCAACTAGGTGAAACGTCTCATTATATTACAATTCCACTTCATGGTTCACAAACTCCATCTTATGCTGCATTTGGTTCGCGTACATCAATGATTGGTAATCAAAATCCAATGCATGATGCGTCAATGACTCAACTTACTCATGGTGTTGCATCAACTTGGGATCCAACATCAACTCGGTTAATTATTATTTTATTTGTTAATTAATATTTATCATTTATTAAATAGTTGATTATGATGATGATGATCCATCATCATTCGCAACATTAAATCTAACAACACCATATATAGTTATTTAACAAATACATTGTCAAGTGATCTTGGAAATTCAAATTCAACAAATTCATCATTAGTAATAACGTCAGACTCTGGTTTATTATTTCGTTTTACAAATGGACAAAAAATAAATTCGAACACAGACAATGCCTGAAAAAAACTTATCTCGAAAATATACAGAAAAGGTGTATGACAAAAAACTTGCATAAGAAAATACATATGAATTAGATTATTCTGATTCACATAACGAAAGAAAAAGATAATTAATTTATACCATGAACCAAATATTTTATAAAATTGATTATTTTTTTTAACTTCAAATTATAGTCAGGTACAGATGCATGTACAAAGCCAAAAATTACACGATTAATTGTTGTTGAAGTGTTTGGAATATTCTTCATTACTATTTGAATGATCTCGTCCATAGCTTAATCGATTTGTTGTTGTTGAATGATCATTTGGTGTTGTTGGTTGCATATATGTACATTGTAATAATAGTTAGTCCAAACTATATATGTTAAATAACCGAGATGCATATTATCGATGTGATCGTGGACTTGTGGATGGCGTAAAATTTGTTGCGTTGACGGATCAATAGTCTTGATAAAGTAATTCTCGTTACTGAGAACAAAGATGAATAAAGCATTTTCATATGTCGGCGTTCTAGTTAACAGACGTGGGATTTAACTGACTACTGCTCGAATTCATCTATAATACAAAGACAGATTTAATACATTCTGTGATCAAATATATCGATGGAATAAAGATTATTTTAAATGAAACCGATGAAATGAAAACAAGGATATATAAAAATTTTCAGTGCTTCGAACAAAAGTCATGTGCGGTTGAATAATTCTGTGCTCGTATCTAGCAATAACAGACTTGCCATATTTAAGTAACAGGTGTAGCAGATGTCGTCATATGACACCATTTGCTCATAAGCAAAGTGTTAAATTTTTTGTGGATTGAAGTAACTGTATTAATAATCTAACAATAGGACAGAAAATCACTGATTTATCTCAATTTTAAATACACACCATACAGTTTTCTATTGGCTCATGACCTGGGACTCATAGAAATCTACTATTGTTCACTTCACACTACATGCTATCTTATATTTTGTTTTGTTATTACAGATGTCATTAGACTCCAAAATCAGTAGATATTAATAAATAAATATTAATTAAAACAAAACATTTCATTGTACTTAGATACATGTATACTCAATACTGACACTGAATTACAAGTTAATTACGGAGTAAAAGTACAAAGTACAATAGTTATGTATAAATTATTTCTACTTGTACTTAGTGTACTTGTACTGATCTAATCAGAGTTAGGAGATTATCGGCAAGCCCATAAGAATTTCTAAGAGAATCTAAAAGTGGCAATCAATTCTCTCATAGTTCTGTAATTTGTAATTGTTAATGTTATGTATGTTTTACAATAGTTTTTACATTCACATAATTATCTTCATTCATTTCTTCATTGCTATGCCTAAAGTATTATATTGATTTCAGCAATCATAGAACGGTATGGGAATTGACGATGCATTTCTATTTTGCAATCCTTGGAGATACGCCACATGTTGTTTGAGAAAAAGAAGTAGAAATGATATCATCATCTTTAGATGACACAGTTACAGATTCATTTCAGACAGGACTAGTTTTTTAAGAAGCTATCTCATCACGTAAACTCATTGTCGATTAAGGTCCAACTAATTGTATCAAGTGATAATGTCAGCAGTAACCACAAAAAGAAGAGAACGAAAGAAAAACATATCTCATAAATAATCAACATGCTAAATTTCTAATGTAAGAAGCGGCACTTGCAATAGAATAAGCATTTACAAATGTTAGCTTGTACAGATTTTTCAAGATGATTAGAATAGTAAACATAGAGCAAATGTTGTGATAAATTATGATTAAATTTCTATTTGATGAACGTTATTGGTTCTGAAGTGATTAATGGAAAATTTGCTGGCATTTGACTAATCAAGACAGTTTGAGTGCAATCATGTAAAAACTCAGAGGAAAAAGATTTGAATATGAATCACTACTGGGACACTAAGTAGTGCTAGAATGGGAAATATTTACTACAGCTAGATGTGAACAAATGATCGAGGAAACACTGAATGGATTGAAGCAAGTGATAGATGAAGACGAATAGCAGATATATGAACATTCCTGCATGTTAGATTTTCTGATGATGCTCAAAGAAATGTAATTTGTAAGTCCCGTTCAAATCATTATATTTTTTTTTATTCGATATCTCTTAGTAAACCAGGAGAAATATTTCTAACAGTAATTAAGAAATTCCCATGAATTTTACGTGATTTACTTCTCTGTGATCATCAGAGAAAGAAAGCTCAAGTTTCAGTGAAGAGTAGATCCAGGCATCTAGCACAGATATTGTAAATATCAGCCTGTTCCACTGAAGAAACATGAGACAAAAATTACTTGAGGACATCAAAACTTATTTGACAATCTTTATATAATCATGAATTATATAAAAGTGTTCATGTTTTATAAAAAAAAATATCGCAAGAAAATAGATGTATTACTGTAAAGTTTTTTTATGAAAGAAGAAGGTCTCGCTGATTTGATGAATATTTGATTTATAACAATTGATACATAACAAGATATTCATAAAACTATATCTAAGAAAAAATTTTGGCTAATCGATTGTTTTTTGATAGTAATATTCTTTTTCTACAGTGATAAATGATATACATAATGTTCTTAAGGAAACAAGGCTGAAAAAACATTTTTTTTGCTTAAGGTGTTATCTCATTATCAGTCAATAGCATTTCCTACTCATGTCCGTTTTTCGTTATTTTGTAATATTACTGTTTCATGTAAACATGCGCATAAAAACTTGTCTATCATCGACTTGTATATTGTAAGTTCAATAATTCATTTTAACAAGCGAGTTATTTTGACAATTTATAAAATAAAGACACAAACATTTCTTTTAAGTATACAGAAAATTCCGAGATTTCAATCCTATGATATATGAGAAAATTTGATGTCATTATTAATACGTTTTATTCTGAAACTATCAAGTTTCACATTTATAATTAAGAATTATATGAAATTGAAAGTAGCTATTCTAAACATAGCACAAATAAGTCCACTGTTTCTTTTAAACATAGACTTTCTGGATTTTAATATCCATATATTCAAACTGCTGATCAATAAATGCTAACGAAAAATGGATATCTTCCAAAAGTCTTTCCTTTTGTATCGATTTTCATATTGATGTTATAGCTTACAGTTTTTTCACAATATCTTTTTTTGTCTCTTCAAAGAATACACACAGAATTAAAAACTAAAACATATTAGGCAACAATTAATCACAAAATATATTCCTTTTCTTATAACAAAATATTCATAAAAAAAACTATCTTGGTAATAGAGAGACGCATTCTTTTTCTAGATTTTTTTTAGTACCATCTGTAATTGTTATTTTCGATGAACGAATATTATTCGATTTTCTAGTCAAATTTTGTTGATCATAATTATTTGATAATCTTATTTGTTGTGGTGTATTATTATTTTGAATACGATTTGCTCTTGTTTGAATAGTTTTTGATCGTCGTTGAAGTCTTCCTTGACAACATTGTGGTAAATGTGAAATAATTAATTCGAACCATTCACATAATGTCCGACGATATGGTGGCGACGTTATACCTAAAGAATAATTTACAATAGGAAAAAAAAAATAATAATTTCTTTTCATTTTTTTTCTGTGAAAGTAAAATTTACCATAAAAAATAAAATTTAATGAATGATTACAATATTGCATTAGGTAAATAATAGCTTTAAAACGTGGATAAGCAACTTCTTCATTTCGATCGCGAAATAAAATAGTTGTTACAAATACAACTGGACTTACAAGAATAAAATAAAGTAAATTAAGTGTAAAAAGTAAATAAAATAAACTTTTTGCTTTATTTGGTATTGTTCCAGCTGCGTTATTATTATGTCCTAAATGACGTGAACGAAATACACGTCGTTGTTGATAATAAACACGATAAACAATTAAAAATGTTCCAATACTCATTACAGTAAATGGAATAAGTGCATAAAGACATACATCAACCCATTCCCATACCTAATTAATTAAATTAAGTGTCAATTATTATTTTTGTCTCAATAACAAAAAAATAGAGAAACTCACATGATCCCAAAAGTATTCATATCGACTTCCTTTTAATGCAGCACATTGAGATACAGTTAAAGTTGTTGTTGATGAATCAAGTTGTAATATATTTGTTGTTGCATTTGGAATTGATGTAGCTAATGACGAATAAAAAAAACGATTTGACATTGATGACGATGACCACGACGATGATAATGATGACGATGATGATGATGTTCTTATATCTCGTTTATCTCTTGGACATAAAAAATTCCATTTAACATTATTACAGATTGAACGTAAAAAAAATGCCGATTCTAAATTTCTTTTTTGTTGTTGTCTACTATCATCACCAGTGCTGTTGTTATTGTTATTATTATTATTATTATTATTATTATTATTTATTTCGAAATCTGTTAATGTAAATAAAATTTGTGTTGAAAAACTTGAACGTAATGGTGACAATGTTGTATGTTCATCTGTATTTGTTGTTAAATCAATAGGATCTGTATCTTGTAAACGAAGATATGCTAATTCATGACAATTAAGTAAAGCAATTATAACTAATATGCTTGCAACAATATATTCAGCTGAACGTGGCGTACAAAATTTTCTTGCAAATTGTATAAAATTTGTTGCTATAGCACGATCAACAGATATAAAGGATAGTATCCATGACGATGAATGTTGAGACCAATATGTTATAAATGTATGTAAACGACATGTTATTGGATTAAGGTTTCTTAATGAAAATGCTATACCATATTCAATCGTAAGAAATAAATCAAGTAGACCAGAATAAAGTACTAATAAATCCATTAATGAAAGTAATGCAAGATAACGAAATGTTGATGATTTTCGTAGTGTACCTTGGGAAAATATAATAAACGAAAGAACATTACCAAATGTACCAACTATCAGTAGAAATATTGAACCATATCGTATTAAATGTGGATCAACACCAAATACAGATGCTGATGATACTACTGATGGTGTTTGTGGACTGTTGGTCATTTCATCATCTGTTTATATAAAACAAAAAAAGCAAAAATACCATCTATTTATTATTGAATTTATTTCATTATGTATATTTCAATTATGTTTAAATTTCATTTACAATTAATCAATATAATTAGTGTAGATTAGTTAGCTATTCACTTACTCATGTCAAATTGATCGATTGGTTTGGTCATGCAGAAACCATCATGGCTCACAAATGCCAGATCTGATTATGTACGGGGTATTGAATATAGATATTTCATAGACTAGTTCTGTCTTTTTTCCTTATTCCATTTATATCACTCCCTTTCTTTTTCTTCTTTTTTTTCGTACGCATCAACATGGTTTTTTCTTTTCCTCTCGTCAGCATCTTCAAGCGTAAGCAGTTTTTCAAGCGATAAAAGGAGTATTATTATCCTTTCATTACGAGACAACAATAAACACATACACATATATATATATATAGCAGCTGTGCCAAAATTCGTCAACGAAACATATCGCTTGCTCATTACAATCATAGTCACAATATTGAATAAGAATGGTCACCTGTACTTTACACCTCTTACTATTTTCTTCATATATCAAGTTTCTTCTTCGGACTATATAGATATCAAAAGATCAATAAAATAATTACTCCTGACCTATTATAAATATACAGATAAATAAAAGACGACAGTGTTTATTTATACAGATTGCGAAGTAACGATATGAGATCTCGTCTGTTAAATTGTTCTTTAGCTTGCATTTTTATTTTTGTCAATGTTGCTTCTATCATCTCAGAAACGTCTTGTTCACGATCGGCAAAGGACAAAAAATAAGATCTGGTCGACTTCTGTTTCTAGCTCTTGTGAATAATAATTTTTAAGTTGACATTCGCCTATTGAAAGGAGATTGAAATGTCCATGTATGTGCATGTTAATATGCACACACTTACAGACACAATCATTCTTATAAAGCATGGATTCTCATCGGATTAATATAAGCAGAATAAAAATAGATATGGAATTTCATTTAATTTCCTTTCATTCTATGAGCATATTGTCTGTCAGATTCATATTATAAATGAATAAACAAAAACAAAAAGTTGATGTTCTTTATTGATAAAGTTTTTTTTTTTGGTTGACTCTTTCTAGAGATATTCATCTGTTTAGTTGGTTTTTACTCGCTCATCACATTTTTCTCTTTACTCGGTCGCTTTTCCCTGGTGGCCTTTTTCTTCTTCGCTACGACTCATCTAATATGGTGCCATGCATTTATTGATGGTTATGATGATGATGATGATGATGATGTGTAAATCATTATATGGGCGTAAAGAACCAAATATGCATTGATAGTTTTCTCTCTTTCTAATAGTATTTGTAAATTTTTGATCGATCGAAGAAATTTTAATTAATAACTATAAAATTAACATGAAGATAACGATTCGGGTCAATACGATGTGATCGACAACTAACATGAAGAATATAATACATTTAGTTAAAGACGATTCATTGAGAGAGAGAGAGAGAGAGAGAGAGAAGGAGTCAGACAAAAAACACATTTACTGCTTGTTTCTTTTTCAACTTATTGTGACAGCCGATGTTTTATTTCGAGCGATTAATCGAATAATAATAAATGTTTCTAATGAGACAAATATAGAAAAACTTATGAAATCGATTTTAGCAAGATACAGATGAAATATAGATAAAGATGAACGAATGATCAATTGATCGATTGAGCGCGATCGATCGTCCTCAAACAGATACTTACATAGATGTAGTAGATTTCATCACTTTTATCTATAACTTGACCCTGCTTTCTTCCGGCCGTAAATGTCTTCTAACTACTACTAATGCTATCAAAGAAAAACAAAACTCACTTTGCTATTGACGCATCTTGTTCAAAGCCTATACTGCGCATTCGATTCTTTTAGCTTTGATCGAATTACATTACACTACACACACATACACGCACATATAATAAAACACTCTATCATGGGTGCTGTCGAAGACACGGGATGAAGAGAGTACAATAAGAGTTCCTTAAAAAAAGAAAAAGGGAGAGCGAGAAGAAGAGAAAAATAAGAAAGTTTTCTCTTCCTATTAGTGGTGCTATTGCTTCCTTTCAACATCATCATAGTTCTAATAGTGCCACGATCATACAAACGGAAACAATCATCTAGGATAGCAATACTAGTAGTATTAGTATTAAAAGAAGAATAGGAGGATTAATTTGAGACAAGCCTGTAGTATTGATGGTATTATAAGTAATCAGAGAAAGCAGGCGCCAAACATGTATTCATGTGAAACCGAACGAAACGCGGAATAGATCATGTACCATATCATTTATGCTCCAAAACAGTAGAACTTTAAGAAAGCAAAAAACATGTTTGAATTATTTATGAAGTTTTTTCTATATTGTGAAACATCATGACATTCCAATGATTGATATACGCACTAACTGAAATCTTAACCTCGACCGTCACTAATTCGATTCGTAAAAATGACCTAAAGAATTAGTCTGTATATGATCATAGTAGTCTTTATAGTTATAGTATCTACATCATTTACTCGAATAAGTAAAACTAATTTAAGATAGATTTCTGCTGAGACCAAACGGATGACTGCATTATTCAATAAAATTCTTTCGATAAATCAACAATATGTATAGATGAAAATATCGATATATAGGATATATTCTTGTCAGTAAAGTTCATGAAGAAAAATATTGTTTTTTTAATAATCTTACTATATTGAATGGATAGACAATTAAAAATACTTATTGAAAAGTCGTGCAAATCTCTGAGTATGTCAACATGAATCTTATAAGACTACTGACGTCAACTGCAAAACTACGTTTTTTCCAAATGACAAAATATTCTTTACTACGAAGAATACTACACACTGATGAGTATTTATAAAAAAAAAAGTGATAACGCTTGAATTCTTGTTTTTACTAAACATGCAATTTAACCTAAGGCAAGATTTTTTTATAATAACTCAATTCATTATATAGTTTTATGCTATTTCTTTTTTACATGCCGGTGCATATCCTTTTGGCTATTGTCTGCTTATTTTGTTTTTCTACAGGGAATCAGGCTCATTTATGAATCTGTCTTTCATTTTGTTGATTGAACCAATTGAAAAGAAGAAGAAAAAAGACTCCTAAAAACTATACTCACTCGTATTCACACATCATCAAGATCTTATTGTCTTTCGTTTTCTTTTTTGTTCTTTGTTCTCTCAAGGGACTTACGATCTGCATTGGAAATGACTGATTTGTTGAGGCGAGCAGTGCGCTTTATATTACGTATGTAAAAGGAGACAAAAAGAAAAGAAAAATGACTTTTTTTTTTCTATAGAAATGTCACGAATCATTAATATAACATCAAAGAGGAAAGATTTTTCATAATAACAGTAAAATAAAAAATTTACTTCGACTTGTCACACTCATGATAGCATATGGCTATCATTAGCTATTATTACAGTACAGCTAATCGCATTAGTCTATAGAAAACAAAGATGATTATTTGAAGAAGTATAGAATGTTTTCATCAAGGCGAAAGAAAAACACATTGTAATTAATATATTTTGAGAGAAACATGATAACATCTTATTCATTTATTCTAAATATAAAGCATACAAGGTTTCTGTTTTTCTTTATCGTGTTTTTTTTATTCCTTTTTCATGTTAATTAATAATCAAGTGACATTGACCTTGAAGAAAATTGTCCATGCTTTTGTGGTACCGGACGAGGTTTTGAAAAAACAAAACTTTGATGAAGAGTATCTTTATCATAATCGCTTGATACATCAACTAAATCCATACCAGAACGTAAAAGCACTTCGAGAATTTCAATTGTTGTCATAGTTGGTAATTCAATACATCCATAACGTTTACCTTCAAGATTTTGTCCTGAATATTCACTTGCTGATGAAGAAACTGTATGACTTCGACCAACAAAAGGCAGTCCTTTTCTCTGTCCCGGACTTCCTGATCTCCTCGTTGGACTACCAGGTTCACGCGTCGGACTAGCTGATCCTTTTGATGAAGATATAGAGCTTTGACGAAGAGTTGAAACAACTGGTGGTCCTTCGTCATCATCAAGTTCATCTTCTTCAAGTGGTGTCGAAAAACTTGGTTTGCTTGAAGCTGACGGAGATGATGAATCTGTTTGATTAGTTATTTCTTCATAAAACGTCATAGTTGATGTATAACGTTCAAATATATTAAATAAAAGTTGTAATTCACCAAAAATAAGTATTTTTGAATGAATTGACAATATTGAATTGGAATTATCTTCCCGTTTTAAATAAATTGTATCTGCATACTGAGATTGATGAAAAGGAGCTGCTGTTTCACCAATCGATACTAGCGCTCGACGACCAACGTTAAGAACTGCTTCAAGGTCAACACTACCTGTATTGGTAATAGACATTTATTAATCTAAAAACAAAAAGAGAAAAAGGAAAAAGAGGTTGAGAACATAGGTTTTTTTTTCTACATTAACTAATGTCTATTTATGAAAATGGATAGATTTTTATGTCTTTTATATATGGACGAATTTCAATGAATTTTTGTATCAATTGTTGGTAAAGGACGAGCAGCATCAAATGAATCTTTATTACGTAATAAAATAAATTCTTGTAATTTTGTTGCTGTTCCAAAATTAGTTGCACTAGCAACAATTGAAAAATAATGTTTATGTAAGATTTCTAATACTTCAATAAACGACATTGTTGGTAATTCAACTGTTGTATAGAGTTTGCCTGATAAACGATCATGATTTTTAACCATTTCAGGATCCTCATGATGAATTTTAATATGCGATGTGTATTTTTGAAATATATCCGTTAAAACATGATAATCACCTATTAGAAAACAATAGATTTCATTCACAATAAAGAAAACAAGCAAACATTTCGAATGCTAAAGGACAAACCATGAAAAATACAGCGAGCATCTTCTTTCAAAATGTCATTCGATTTTTCAACTTTTAAAATAATAACATCTGTATAACGATATGCATCTTGAGAAGCTTGAGGTGTTGTAACAGATAAACGTCGTCGGCGTACTTGAAGAACTGATTCAAGATCAATTGCAGTTGTTGACATAGCTCGTTGTGTATTTTGTTCCATAGAAGGTGACTGTATAAACAAATAGAAATGTTTATATAATGAATTAATTTAAACAAATTATTGTAGTTTCTTGAATACGAAGCCTACGAAAGAAATATTTCTTGAAACTGATTTTCGCTGTCCGCCCACAAACTTATTGTGAACTGTAGTAGAACTGGCTGAAGAATCTTTACGGGCTATAGCTGCCTCTCCAAACATTTTTATTATATTGAATAACAGTTAATATGGTTTTTTTTTTAGTAATTCACTCTTCTGTTATATATTGATCTTTTTATGATCTATTTCTCATTAAGGGCAATAAAAACATGAGAAAAAAGGAATAAAATATTGATTATTCACTTTCTTCCTATATCATAGTTGATTTGATGTTAGTTATCTTTTACAGAGAAATCAGTTCGTAAAAAAATTCAATATGTAGTCCTTAACAGTCGTATTTTTTCATCGTCTCTTTTTTCTATTCTCAAACACACACGACTCAGTAGAAATAAAAAACAAGGGGTGTATTGATGTGTGGTAACTGTATAAAATAGACAAAGACGATGAAAAAAAAAAGACAAAATGCATAGCTATCGCCAAACCAAGCAGAACAAACATGCATCCATGTAGGTATACATACATACACTATTTTTTTATCGAAATACACTGTCACAAGTATTCTTCTTTTCTTTTTTGTTCGTTTCTTTTTTCTGTTGATTAGTGATAAACGACGCTTCTTTTCTTATTTTTTCTTTTGCTGAAATATATTTTGCTTTGAAATCAATTTTTTAAGTCAGCCTTTATGTTTCTGATGAGAACACTGGGCCTTCTAGTAAACCCATGGTTCTTATCGAAAATGAAATAATCAAGGTTGCACCTGCAGATTACATTTCAAAACCATTACTTTATGTCAACTATTGTATAACAACTCAATTAATTAATCACTTTTACCTTTTTTTTTGAAAACATTGTAAATTATATCGGCTATTATTGGAATAGATTTGTTTGATAATGAAACAAAAAAAAGTAGTTATGGGAGTCACGCTATGCAGTAATCAGACTAAGAAAAATGAATAAATGTCTGTTATTTTTTAGCTCATTACGTACTTTTTCTTCACTTATTCGTGCTCTAAGGCAAATCACAAGAGTACTGGCAGCAAAAAATGTGGTATCTCGGTTGATGCTGATCGACTGCTTACATTTCAACTATACAATTTAAATGCGTAGTTAGCATACGTGATGAATGTAAGGCGCACACGCGTTCTGAAGTGAATGGTATGAATAATAAAAGTACTGTTTATCATAGAAACATAAAAAAAGATGAATGTCTTTTACTGATGATATTTTAAGACAATAAGAACAACCTCGTTTCGTTCTCTTTTTCATTTTTTTAGTAAAACAATAAACAAAGATCAAATGAGTTTTCAAAAAAACAAGAAATGTGAAGTTTTAATTTATGGTAATTCATTATATACTTTTAATTGAGTACGAAAGCAATATATATATATATATGTTCTTTTTCACCGTTTAGATAAGAAAATATAAATCGATTCTTATTCTCAAGGGAACCTCCCCAGGTGTCTCCTTCTCTTTTCAATGACTTTTTTGTCTATAGACACTACATGGTATTCTTAGTGAAAACCTCAACAGGATTTAATTTCCGATTGAGACTTGTTGGAGCAATATGTCTATTTATCACAGATCCGTGTACAACCTCAGACTTCCAGAAAAATCATGTTTTTCAATTTTGTCTTGGAATGATCCTCATTTGAAGATTTCATATACAGTAACGTGTATGACGAAGATTTTCATAATTTGTGGACTTTGTATTTTCGAGCTTTGAACTTTTCAAAAATCGAAGATTTTCGACACGTAATAAATAAAATACAAGAAAATTGTTGAAAAAATTTGTATCGCTGAGATACGAAGTCTATCAGCTTTAAAATTCTTCAAACACACTACTGTAAATGAGACCTTCAAAGGTAGATAGTTTCAAGAAAAAAAAACTCAAAACGACGATTTTCTCGAAAACTTAAAGTTTTACATGGATCTCTGATAAACCGACATATTAAAAATTCAGTAGCTTCATCAAATTTCAAAAAAACAAAAATATTCAAACCCTTTTAGAATTTTCACTACAATCCTGTGTAGTATCAATAGACAAAAAATCATTGAAATGGAAAAATCATCATCAGCTAGTTGTTCTTCTTCATCTTTTTTTTTCTGATGCCGATATAGTATCAAGTATGAATATTATTGATTACAAGGACACTTTACAACACCAAATTTATTATTAATGAAAAAATACGCATGCCATCAATAGTATCATTATCAAATGAAAACAGTAAAATGCAATAGTTTACCATCTTTATAGTAATTGGACTAGTTTCATAAATTATAAACTGAAAAAATATTGTGATTGATCATTCCACTGTTCAAAAAGTACTAAAATATGTAGCTTATCTTCAATGATTGAACTTTGAAAATGATTTATAATCAAACATGCTTGGATTTGAGTTTGCCACAATTTACATTTGATGCAGTTAAACACAATTTTGCTGATTGAAAATAGTAACTGAGTTGTTTAAATTTCATTCATTTGTCTTCATGTTCATCGACACTGCTAAACATAATTGTTACCGAATGTATGCTCTTCTCTGGTACAATAGTTTCAAACGGCAAAAGTATAAAAAGGATAGCTTCAGTATTCACTGCATTTAAATGAATATTTTCTGTGATTGTCAAAATCTGATCGTCGATATTGACGCACATTACATTACATTGTCATTTTACAAAATCTTTCGCACCATCGTATCATTAACTTGTGTGTGACAACATCCATTTTTCATTTGGCATTTTCTAATGTTGTGCATAGTTATAAAAATACATCATTTATTCATGTACAATAAAACTGCTAAAAGTCAGATTAAAATTGATTTTTGTAAAATAATCGCAAAAAAATTGATCATTTATGGCACTTTTTTTGATGACTTCAATGCAACTTTTGATTTTAATCAAGTTTACTCAGCAATATTTCTGATTCAGAAAATAGAAATTTTATAGAATTCCTAGAAGCCAACAAAACATATATCTCTACATCTATATGAACAAAAAGAAAGCAAGTAATTCATAACTATTCTAGATATTTAATAGAAGTCTAGAAATCAAGAGTAAAACAAAAATCTATACATCTATATATATTATTAAGCACTAGAATTCTATTATATCGTTGAAATCATCATAAATTCCTTGATTTTCTTAAATTCCTGTAATTCATTAGTTTCCTTGAATGCTTATTGGTCTGGAGATCTGTGTGTTAGTGTTGTAAAGTAGAATTCTATACTTTTTTTTATTCTTGAATCCTGGGTATACCTCTTTGATCTTTATTCAGTTAAAATTGAGATTTTATATGCTAAATCCATTAAAATAAATCTATCAGTCAGAAATCTAAATAATCTATTAAAAATCTAATCCACTGTAACTAATTGTTTGGTTTAATCAATTGAAATCAATAAAAAATGTCTTAAGTAGTTTTCATAGATTAGTATTGATAAACAAGGTACAAATCACAATTATTTTTGCCTGAAAACTGTAAAATCCGGTTACAATCTGCTCACATAGTTATTTAATTCGAATTTAATCCAATTTATCATCAAAATTTCATTTATAGATCTTTTTTATTTAATGCTGAAAATATTTTGTACTTAAAGAACTATTTCAATAGCCGTTTCACTTTCGATGTAATCTTTTGTTAACATAAAGTGTAAATTGTGTTTACGTTCTATTGTTTGTTTTGAAAATACAGTTAGAGAATTGATCAGAATGAAAAAGATAGATTATAACGATTCATATAGTGAGTAACCTCTTCTCATCTTACATTATCTATACACTTATAGATTAAAATATATTTTTCAAGGTTAATCGATTTCGAATATAATTGTGCTATTTCAATTCGAAACAATTCTCATACCAGTTTCAAGCTTACATTCCTTGGCAAGTTACAGCATGATTGATCATCGAACAGATTTATTAAATCTTTACTTTCACGCAGATGTACAGAATCTACCAGTGTGCGCAAACGACCGTTCGAGGAAATTTTTGAAAATTTAGTAGCATTGGAGAAATTTTTTGAAAATTTAATAGCAATTCAGCAAATTTTTGTGACAAGTATTTCTCTCGTAGGGAAAATTTTTCAATTTTTTAAATGAATTTCGGTTTATTTATGTACAGGATGGGTCAAAAGGAAGGAAACACAAATTATTTTTGATTTCGTCTCTATACAGGAATAATAAAATCTCTTATTTATGCCACATTTACTAGGTAGTGACAGTCACATGTGTAGCATATTATCAGTCTCTGGGCTCAATAGTTTGTTTCAAAAGCGCATCGATATATTTTGTATACTCTTTTGTGATTGTGGCAAAACTGGCCACTTCTTGTCGAATTTTATTTTCGCATTTTTTGTTTGATTGAACCAATTTGAAGAATAAATCGAATACTATATTCTTTTTTGAATTTCTTTAAGATAAAACAATGCAAAAAGAAAATACAGATATGTTTTAATCTGCAAATTGGTACGGTCAGACGAAAAGTGGTTATCAAATTCTATAAGAAAGCAATAATTCTTATTCCAGTCACATAGGAGTACACGAGATAAACCGATGTGTTTTTGAAAAAAACTATTAAACCCAGAGACGAATGATATGCTGTGCTTCTGACTACCACTACCTAGTAGTATATGTGCTATAAATTAGAGAGTTTATTGTTCATATATAGAGACAAAATTAAAAAAAATGTTGTGTTTCCTTACTTTTGGCCCACTCTGTATTCATCGATAAGGCGTTCTACTTTTCTTTTCATTATATTTCTGAAAGACTCATCCGCGTCTTTATCTTATTGTCAGTATCGTCTTCCTTTATTTACCTCATCATGCATGTTGCTGTCTTTTTCATCCTATTTCTTTGCGCCTATTCATGAAACAACACGCACTATGGAAGTTCTCCTCTTTTTTTCTCTATACTTTTCCTAATGGAATGCCACTACTTGTCGTTTTTTCTCCGTTGCTATATACGGTTGCTCTTGTATGTGCGTATATGCGTACAATACCACAAGAATGACTAATATATGGTCATCAGTCACTTAATCAAATCATTTTTCGTTGGTTCGAGTCCAGTTCTATTCAAGTAACTCTAGTTCCACCGAACCAGGAATACACGATAGCTTGAAATCTATTTCTGACGGTTCAGTGAGTTTAAATCGTTTACGAAAAGCACATGTAACCAGAAAATCTGAACTAAACGATATTGAATAGTAGCTTTTTTCCTTAATGTGTATTTGCAATGCATTAAATAGTGGTAGTTGTTTTTTTTTTTTTTTGAATAAAAATTTAAAACAAGACAACTCATTTTTTAATTGAGTCCTTATAGTGAGGGAAGTTTTTTCGCAAAAATTTTGCTGTTCGGGAAAACTTTTTATTTTTTCGGCAGATTCTGCACGTCTGAAAGAATAATTCATATAATACTTCTGTAAAAAAAATAGAAGGACTATTTGTGAACTAATGAGCCATAGTGTGTTAGTTCTTACACAAGTGAGAAAGAAAGAAGTCTATATTAGAAGATTACAAAGCTCATTGAGCTACTTCTAAGAAGATANAAATAGCACAGAAAAATAGAGCTTCATTTTCTCTATCGTCTCATAAAAACAGAAAATTTCATCAAGCCTTCTATACGAAATTGAGATGCGACCGCCACTACTTTTGGGTACCCCTAAGTAATATATTCAATAATATTACAAGATGCTGAATTAATTTCTCTTAAATCGAACTATCGATATTGATCATCTTACTAGATCTATTTTTACATGTTTTTATAATGTGAACATAGTTTTTTTCAATCAAGAAGAGATGTACTATTTATCAAAATGTACATTTAAAAAAGAAATAAAAATTATTTCTATAGTAATTATTTTCATAGAGATCCAATTGAGAAGGTAAATTGTTTCTATTTGTCTACTTGATTATAAAACATTTATGAAATCAATTCATTAAAACAGATTTGAATGTTGACTACTAAGTACTAGAGAAATTTATTTGATAATTTTGTTAATCTTGATCGGATATTAAATGATTCTTTTACCACAAGGAAATTATCTCGATTAACTCGTTAAATAATTTCTTTCTATACTTTTTTTATCAAAATTCAAAAACAATAAAAGTACCGAAATTATTCAAAGCAACATTTTTTCTTAGAAACTATATTTTGAAAACAATACATACTTTGCCCACAATAAAGAGTATTCTAATTGGTTGAATTCATGTGTAAAACGAACTCGATAGGATGAAAACAATATGTTATCAAATATTTTCATTTTTTCAGCTGATTGTTGAATGTCAACTTATGAATTGACAAAGATTCATAGCTTGTATTTAGTAGATTCATAATAATAAATAAAAATTGATTTTTCATAAAAGAATAAATTTGGTAATCTTTCAAAATTTTTAGAGTGTTTAAACAGAGCGAAAAAATGTGGGTGGAAAGCTTTTTGCGCATTTCTCCTCTGTTTTGTCTAGCAGAGAATTGTTGTTTTTGTTTCTAAGTCTTTATCAAATGATTTATTTATTGGCTTTGTCAACGACTGGAAACCTTGAATTTTTACATTTTTACTACCATCTTTACGTTACCTGACGTCAACTCTTTTGAGTTCAAAACAACGAAAAGCAAGTGAATCACATGCATATACTCATAAAACAAACCAGCTGATATACCTATATTAGAAAGAAAGAAAAAATTTGTCCCATATGACATCACGATGATAAAGCAGTCGTGATTTAGATTTTGAAAAAAATTACACATAAGAAATCGTATCTTTTTCGTTTCGGGAAAGATCAAAGATTTTAAATGTATATAAAGGGTGTACTTATGAAAATATCTATGAATTTTGTTGTATTCATCATCAATATTAATTGTAGTTTTTTGTAGCACCTGACCGATTTGCATCATAAAAAGTAAGTATATTTTTTGAGAGTTTTTGTAATACGATGCGAAGCAGAGCATTGACGTAGACCGACGAGAGATTTTTTCTCTCCTGATGAATGCATCGAGAGTCCAAGTTTTGTTTCATCATAATCTCAAAAGTAAAAAAGCAGAAAATATTCGTTGAAAGAGAGAATGAAAAAACCGTGATTGTATCGATACTATCCCTGTTTCGATCTTTAGTAGAAGGTTTCGTTTGTTGACATAAAGCCTAGCAACAAAATAAACTTTTATAGGTTTTTTTTGTTGTTTTTCCGTATTTCAAGATAACTAAATGATGAGCTGCGAGCGTGTTTTAGAAGTATACTGATATGAGTTGATAGAACTCTGGTATTAATCAACATCATAAGGTTTACTTTTTAGATTTCTCGGGTTTTCAAACAACTGAATCGAAATGCAACGTTTCTTATTATAGAAATAAAAAAGGAAGAGACTCATTCTACTTAATAGACAAGCAATTAAGTATTTTTATGAAGAAATATATCAAACTTAAGGATATACATAATTGTTCGTTTTCTCCGAGTATGTAGGTATCGATGTGGATGGATTGAAGAATTAGACCCAGATTCACATTCGTTTTCGGTTATAAATTCATTCGACTATATTGAAATCGACAAGAAGCATTATAGATGAAAATGGACTAATTCTCAGATTTTTGCAAGGCTTTTTTTCATGAGTAAACATATAAAATAGTTCACGAGTATTTACTGATATACTTCCAGATAAAAACTTTATGTCATGTCACAGCATAGATTTGTGATAGGATCGGTCAAATATTTATAAATATTTTCATAAAAATACTTTAAGCGTTAGAAATATTTTTGATAGAATAAACTGGTTTTTTTTTAGAAACTTCATCTTTTTGTTTTAGGTTTCTGTTCTCAATTTTTTCATACTTTATCGATTTTCCACTATTTCATTTGAAATCGATTTCTTTGTATATGAGAATATTATTTTATTAAAAAGTTAATTCTGATGGATTTCATTTGATTTTGCATTTATTTTTAGAGAAAGTTGTCTTCATTTCTCAAAATTTAGTCCGATCACACCAAAATCAATGTAGTAAAAATAATAAAATATGTTGACTCTATTCTATACTCTTCTTTCTTTTTGAAAATGCAATATTATTATACTCTCATCTGAAGCATGTTTAGTTAAATTTAAAACTGGAATATTTTTTTTTATCCTAATCACATAAATATTTACTAGAAAGAAGAACAAAGTATCCTTTCTCTTTTTCGTTGAAATATTTCACTTTCCATGTTTTGTATGCGCAATTATTCTTCTTCGTTTTTTCCAATGTTATAACGCTAGTCGGATGACACAAGCACATAAAATATTACATCTGATCAAAATGAGTAATGAATTATCGATGACTATAAATTATAAATATTCACTCCCACAATTAATAAACATCTATTTTGTTTGACTGACTCAAAAATATCAAAGAGTTTTACTCGCGAACACAATAACCACTAGCTTTTGATTACTTTGATGTGCTTGTTTTACAAAATAATTCATTTTTATTGTTGAATTCTAATGAAAATATTTGAAAATTTTTTTCTTCTAGGAAATTTTACTTGAATTTGAACTAACAATAAACACTAGTTTTTATTTCGATTGAATGTTCGATTTCTAGAATATTAAAATACTAAAGTACATATAAAGATCAGAAAAGAAAGATCCTTATCGTTTTAAAGTGCTTTTCTCACTATTTTCACGAGCATAAAACAATTGATAACATATAATATTTATGTTATTGAATTTCTTCATTGAATTGAGAAATGATACATAAATCTTCGTTTTGAAAAATTATTACTTTCAAAACTATACTACAATCATCAGAAAGATACAACTAAGATAATCAAATCTTCTGAAACTAAGTAAAATATCTTGTTGAAATTATGTTTTAGAAGTTATTTCATTTTAATACGCTCAACTTTCAAAATATGATATTATAATGAATATTAAAGAGTTAGCGAAAAAAAAAGGTTGATTTTTATAATTCTTCTGACTAATCTTTGAATATCGATTTACATTAGTCATAACAGACAGCAAAATTTTAGCAGAAATCGAAACAAAACCCAGAATATGATTCCCTATATATACTTCAAAACGATCATAATAGAAAAATATTTATCCCATTTTGTTTTGATTTTGACTGAAACTTTCAATCATTCATTATTATTCAGCCATTTCCTTTTAAGTTTTCTCCAAGCGAATAATATTTGACCTCATTGGTTTTAACCAATAAACACATGAAAATGAAATTACATTTTATTCTGCAGCACAAATTAAAGATAATCATGTACCCAGTTATTCATTGAAATCATCATATACCATTAAATGCGCTTTAAACTAATAAAATTCCTTAAACAAATATTGAGTTTTTTCACACAATGAAAAAACCTGATTTATTAGCTTCTCTTTCTTCGCTCGGTAAAGAAAGATATCTAATATATTTGGTAGCTTACTCTGCATGATCGATTAATTTTGATGTCTAATTATGATATCGGATTTTTCGTTTTTAATCATTGTCTTTCAACACTCGGAAGCACTTTCATTGAACAAGCAGTGAAAAAAAAGAGAGAGAGAGAAACAATAGAGATCACAAAAAAACACGAATAACTATCTGTGAGAGTAAAAAGCCCATAGGTGCAGAAGGAGAAAGTATAGCTGCTGAGGGGATAAAGAGAGAGCTGTGACTCACATCCACACCTTATTGCTAAAGCTTCTCTCCCACTTCTTCAATCTTCGATTTTTCCCACTGATTTCGACATTCTCATTCTATAAATGATGCAATTCGACTGAATGTCTATATTATTTTAACTAACTTTTGGACAATATCTGATTCGTGTTTGTGTCAGATCAAAAAAGAATAACAATCTATTTTACTTTCATATGCAATAGTTATTGACTCCAATGGATGCTAAGAATAAGAATACTCTTGATCCAAAATTTATTTGTTCTATTTGTTCATTCATTTTATGTGATCCAGTTCAATTTAATACATGTGGACATCGATTATGTCAAACTTGCTTCGCTACTCTTAATCAGTAAGTTTTATTATTAATAAAAATTATTTTTATCAAATTTTATCATTCAAAGAGCTCTAATTAAATGTCCTCAATGTCACACAGAAACACCACGAGATCAAGTAAAATATCTTTGTTTTTAATTTAATCGAATATCTAATATGGATCTTTTTCAGATAATGTTTGATCGAGGTTTCAAAAATGATATGCAATCTTTACCTATCATATGTTCACATTGTAATTGGACCGATATCTTAAAAAATTATCAAGTAATATCAATCAATAACATCTCATTCTTTCATTTTCTATATTTATCGTTCAAAGGAACATCTTGATCAATGTCATCGAAATCCAAAATGTAATTATTGTGATGAACAATTCATTTCAGTTAATCAACTTAATCAACATAAAACATTTCAATGTCGAAAAATTACTGTTGAATGTTTATTAAAACATTTTGGTTGCTATCAACAGGTTTTTATTTTCTATAAAAGAAAGATTTTTAATATAATTCATATCTTATCTTATTTAGATACTTCGTTGTGAATTAACAAATCATTATCAAAGTAAACAACATCAAGATTCAATAGTAAATGTTATTCAACAAATGAAATTACAGTTAAGAGATGCTCAAATAACATCTAGTCAAAAGGATACTGATAGTCCTAGAACAACTACAATGATAGACGATGATTTTGCTGTAAATCAATTGGAAGAGCTTCATGAAACTATTAGTATCTTAGCAAATGGTTTTGAAACATTGAATGGAGATGTAGAACGTCTAAATACTGAATCAGTTGAACATGAAAATAATTTACAGCGTTTAACAGAAAATGCTTCAACAGTGAAACTAGCTATTGAAGAAGAACATGTTTTTTCCGAAGCAACTACACGAAATCTGGAAATTCTGAATCAAGATTTAATGTCATTCCAAGAGAAGATTGATGATATTCAATATGTATCTTATGATGGGATATTTGTATGGAAAATTACAAAAATTCAAGAGAAATTCGGTATGTAGAATATTTTATCCCATCTACTTGATGATGGTGAGACATCATAAAAGAGTAATCACACTTCAAAGGCATCACGATGGCATAAAATAAAGAATGAATCCCTTTTGTATAAATTTGAGTAGGTATAAAAGCATGAAGAGTGCAATAAACGCTAAGTCGATCACCATAATAAATGAATCCTTATTGATATGGAATTTTGAAACTTAATGCCTTTTTGTTAATCATGTGTTTGTAATTATTGATTTTGTTCGGTTTCTAGCTGATGCACAATCAGAACGACAAACATCAATTTATTCACCTCCATTCTATTCGTCACCGACTGGCTACAAAATGCGAGCCCGACTTTATCTGAATGGTGACGGCAATGCTCGACGTACACATATGTCATTGTTTTTTGTTTTAATGCGTGGACGAAATGATGCAATGTTAAAATTTCCCTTCAATTATAAAGTTACATTTTGTTTGTATGATCAAACTCCTCGACAACAACATATTATCGATTCTTTTCGACCAGATACTCGATCGAATAGTTTTCAAAGACCACGATCAGAAATGAATATTGCTAGTGGTATACCTAAATTCTTTCCATTGGCAATGATTCAACAAGAAGGTAATCCATATGTTCGAGATGATACAATGTTTATTAAAGTAATGATTGATTTTGGTGACATACCGAAACCGTTGTTACCATATGCATTGAGTCTCAATCCTGGATTACCAACAAATGTTCAACAATTAATGATCAAGCAAGAAATAAAAAGAAGAGCTCAATCGTGAGTTTTAGAGCAACAGTTACAACAAATCAATAAGTAAAAATTGAATCATATTCCAGATTAAACAATAAACAAGATTATGTTATTTTTTCTTTTGTATCGTTTTATCAGATAGTTAAACAAGATATAATTTGCATGTGTTAAAACTTTCAAAATGAACAATAGTAATTTTTCTGCTTCGTTTTTATATCCCATATTGGATTTGTTGTTTCTACGCTCAGTAGAAGATAATAAAACCAAGAAATAAAATGAAAGTTGAATAAATCAATTATTTATCATAATAAACAATGTTATCAAAAATCTATAAATATCTATGATTTGATGAATCAAATATAAAACTTTTTATGGCTATTTTGTTCCAATCTTCGTGTCTCTTCCATTTTAATTTCTATGTCTGCATGCTTTGATTGTCTTTTATTATGTATCGAAATTTTTTTGATAGATCGAGAAAGCATTTAAAAAGGTTGTTTATCAATTGCCCATTGTGATAGATTAAATGCCTACAAAACATGTAAAACAGTGTTTATAAATCTGATATCTATACAAATGATAATAGAAAATTATGAAAATAAGTTAGATCGTTTAATTAAGAAAGATCCCAGTCAAAATTTGTAACGGAAAAATGGCATTAAAATGAGAGAAAATTTACATTTTTAAAATTGTAAAAGACTATCACAAATAATCCTGTAAAATGCTTTCTGATTAGGCATTTAAATGGGTAATCTAATGAAGATAAAATGATTCAGCGTTTACAAAAAATAATGTATAGAAGTCAAACCATTTTTATGCATTGCAGAGTATCCCAAAAGTCACTTTACACTTGATATCGTATCTAACATAGATCTTCAATATATGAAACCTAAATCTTATTCACATGTATACTCGTACTCAGGAGTAAGAAACATAACTACTAATATAATTGCTTTCAACAGCAATAATTTCTTGAAGAAAAATACAAATGTATTTTGTTTACTTTTGTATAATTGTAACGAAGTTTAGTTGTCATGGTGATTCACTAAACTTTCTAATTAACTAGAAAGTTTAGTGAATCAGTATGACAACTAAATTTTGTTACAATCATACAAAAGTAAACAAAATACATTTGTATTTTTTTTTTTCGAATTGTTACTGTCAAAAGCAAGTATATTAGTAGTTGTATGAGTTTTACTCCTGAGTACAAGTATATATATATGCATAAGATTTAAGTTCTATATATTGAAGATATATATGTTAAATAAAATACTAAGTGTAAATTGACTTTTGGGACACCTCTTATATGGATCAATAAATGATTTAAGTGAAATTACAAAGAAAATATTTTGAAATTAACAAACTAGAATATGAAGAAAAAAGTTATGCGATTGCGTTGGAGAGATGATGTAAAAATGTGATGAAATACTTTAAATCATAAAGAAAAGCATATTTTCATCTAAATAAACGATGCGTGCAGATTTTTCAATTTAATTGAAGTAACATTGTCAGTTAGACCTCATATTTATGTCACACATACGAGCATGAAGATACTTAATGTATGCCGAAATGTTAGTAATTGACCACAAGTAGTTGTCTAAAAAAGGAGAAATATCTCATGAAATATTTCATCGGCGAAAGAATGATTAATCTATGTACTAAGTTCTCTAAATATTCAAATCGTCCTTTGATGTATTCACTTCTTCGTACAAGAGATATTATACATATTTTACTCAATGTATAGCCTCTATATAGTGACTGTTCGCATATATTTTCACTCATGTCAATCGCTCATGTACCTTACCCGTCAAAAGGCAAAATTTTATTCAACTAGACTTAAAACATCTCACTATTTCGCTCAAAACAGAATATGAAACAAATTTCTTTGTTTTGTAGTGAAGTGCTATAATTTATGGTTGACATCTCCATGTGTGTTAGATATTATTAGTCGTCAATATAAAATTTAATTCTAAGACTCACTTCTCAATGTGGTTTCGAATAAATTGAAAAAAACATGTTTTTGTATTCATTTAAGTACAAGGGATATGAGAGAAGAGTTAGACCCTACTGGTAAGTTACACAAATAATTTATTAGAAAGAAAAATTGTCTAACGTGTTAATTACTGGACATCAAAGGATCGTTCTTTTTATTCCTATTATTTCGTTTATAGTGTAAAATGTTTTGAGTTGTACTGTGCGGAGAGACAACTCGATGTTACAACAATTAGATCATCTGTTTCAAATGAATCGAATATACGTTGTTCTTTCCTTTTCTATCAGTGTTCTTTTCTTTCTTTCAAGACAAAAATGACAATTGACCAATAGGAATAAACCAATCACCTCATTTAGACAGAGAGAATAGATCGCGATGAGCATTAAAACAGAAAAGGAAAGAAAAGAAAAAATAATGTTTAAGTGATCGCACAAGTATAAATATAAACAGATTCATTAGTATGAATATTTGCATATATGAAGACGATGATACAAATATACTTATATCTGAATAAAAATTCATTTTGGATAAAAACTGTGAATGTTGTGCTTCATTCATAAAACAAAAATTTAAACGATTAGAACTCTCGATTATTCCTTCATTAATGGGATACACCTTGCTCCTATACCTTTATTTCGAAGAAATTGTGAAATGAAACTTGAGAACTACTTAATGAAAAAAAACTACACTCGAGTTGAAATGTTAAACTAATAGCTAACAATGAATTTGTTTATGTAAAATTATAAGCGAGTTCGTGGCGGAGCCAGGATTTTGAGTTGGGAGGGGCTGGGGGAGGGGATCAGCGTCTTCTAAGGCACCTCTGAGCCCCGGTTTTCGAATAAAATACATGGTTTTAAAATTTTCCTGGGGGGGGGGGGGGGGGGGGGGGGGGCCCGCACCCCCCCCAACCCACCCCTGACTCCGCCACTAAAGTGAGCATAGACATTTATGTCAGGTGATCATTTTGCATAGATGCACGTACAGAAGTTAACTTATACATGCACAACCGCTCTTTATCTATGCTACTGTTCCCTCCTTCGAAACAATATAAATATTAAAGGAGAAAAATTAGTATGATACAAAAAATATTCAACGTGCCCAATTAAATAATTGGTACGTTTAAATATGTATGAAAAAATTAGCAACACACGTTTATCTTTGCTGTTCTTCTTACATTTTCATGTAGGTTTTTGAAGATCTATCTTTTTCTACATTAATTTGAGCATAGATATTTCTGCAAATATGGAAAAGCAAACACGACTATCATAAACAACAAATAACTTTTCTATTTAAAAAGAAAGCAGCATAGAAGAATAGAACACTATACGTTAGTCATAGTTGATTGTATCAATTAACACTATAAAATTATGCTATACTATTCTGAAAAATAATGTCACAATGTAAAGCGATTATCTAAGAAGTCAATATAGAAATGTATTTTTAGAAGGATCTAGAGGAAGATAAACTCTTTTAGTAAAAAAATGAGGCAGAAAATCAGTCATATCAACAGGTTTTCGTAGATATTCTCAAGCGTTTGTTATTATCAAGAGTATCCATGTAAAAAATTGACAATGCTTCATTAACAAAGTATCATTAGATAAAACGAATTTTGTATAAATCTTTATAAATTGTCAGACTAATGCGTCACGAATTAAATATATTGTTCGGTCACAAAGGTGTTGTCAAAAAAATGAACTGTGTCTATTCTGATTTTCTGACTATTTTAACTTAGCAAATAAATTTAATAAGAAGAATAATAGTGACCATGACTTCATTTGAATCGGAAGCAATAGCTTTTAGCTTTATTCCTTGTAATGTGTTGCGTATAGATGAATTATAATTTTGTTTCCAACCAACAATTCAGCTTCATTCAAATTGAAATTCTAACTTTATTTACGTACGGTTTTAGAATATGATCGAAATTCTGATTTTATTCAAATATAGAGAAGATGTAAATTCTTAATTTTTTACGCCGTACCTTTGATGACTTCATTTACCTCAATGCGTTAGAATCGTTTTTGTTCTTTACAAGTAAAAAAAAACAGTGCTAGGCCAGTTGCCTATGATGTACCGTGCATTTGATGGACAAAAATAAGATCCATCGTCTTCAGAAAAAGAGGATGCTATTTTTAACTACGAGTATTCGATCTCCAAAGAAAAAATTTTGATTCAGTGGTGCTATGAAGAGTACGACTCTTCCTAATTCGAGACTTTTCAATTCATTATTAAAAACCATGAAAAAACCAACTATTTCTGACTACTTCTATATTTGACTTCATCAGGATCGGAAATTTCTACTGACTTCTAGTGTGAGTTCCGAACTATATTCTTGAATGTTATGGAAAATATGAACGGTTAATAAACAAACTCCAACAAATCATATAATTTTTAGAAATTATAAACATATTTCAATCAGCTCGAAATTCCGAAAAAATACACTTTGTGATCATAAAATGGCCGAAATGATTTAATAATCAATCGATATGCCTTTTAAGAGAGGGTCCGCGGAAGCACTTAGCAACTTAACTAGGAGTCGACCACCGGTGAAATTTTGATTTCCGATTTAGCCATCTTAAATGGAGGGTCTAGTTAAACCATAAGTAAATTCAAAATATCAGATCTTTCTGACTTACCGATAAAAAGATTTTAGACACACTACTAAAACACGCTCGAAACTTGATAAAAAAATCAGCTTTTTAGAGTGCCCTTAGTATTTTATATTTTTCTCTGCTTCTATTGATTCCTTTGAATTCGGGAACGTCTTAAAAGATGGAGAAATGTTTTCTCTACAAAATAGAGCAATTCCTACGGTTATGCAATCCCATAGATCAATTAACAATGCTAAGATACTTAAGGAAATGATGATTGGCTAAAATGAAGATTTTCAGTATTTTAACTATAACCATGCCGGATCTGGTCATCCCAAAATAGTTTATATATTTTCTGAAAGCCCTTGAAATTCTGCATCTTCTAATGTATTACTTATTCAGATAAAAGTTGCGCGAAAATAGTGAGTCTATACCACAAATGTTGACATTGGA